CCCTTAATGCCCATCTTGCTTAGGTGATGACTGAAACCCCCTGAGCCGGCCGCTCCTCTGCTCCTCTCCTTCCCAGCTTCCCAGTCCCACCTCAACATGGCCAGCGATCAGCCACACACTGCCATCCTCATTCCAGGTCCAGACTGCCCCACATTTAGGTTTCACCACACCCACCTACAACCCAGGTACCCCACCATCGCTCAGCAGCGGTGGGGCACTTGAGATCACTAAAGCCAGGAAGAACTGAAATCTGCCTGAAGCCATGGGCCCTGGAGTTAAGAATCTCAAGAAATAAAATTTGGTCTGGGTATGACCGCCAACTTCCCTCCGTTGGAATTTCAAGAGCCAAGGACTCCAAATGGTTAATTTCTTTGGGTCCCCTCTAGCTCCAGAATTCCCAAGGGCCTCAGCCTCAAGCTGTGAACCCCACAGACCGCAATGTGGATGATGCCTCCAGAACTATGTCACATGGTGGCTCTGAGAAAGCCCTTCCCAGCCTCATACTTTGGGCTGAGCTGGGGGCAGTATGATTCCAAAGCCTGACTGGGGTTTAGGCTCTCCTGTTAACCAGCTGCATGACCTTGGGCAAGTCACTTACCTCCTCTGAATCTTGGCTTTCTCATTTGCAAAAAAAAAAAAGAAGAAGCTGGGGAGGGGATGGATGATAAAAACATACCATGAGAGTTGTCATAAGAAGTGAGGCATTATGTGGAATGTATAATATTTCACCCATGGTTCACAAACTCACTATGCCTCAGTTTCCTCACATGTAGAATGATAAGACAGTGTTGCTCATTTTTTTGTGAGAATTAACAAGTTAATGTATGGAAAGTGCTTAGAACACTATGCGCCATATAGCAAATACTATAAAGTGCTAAAATACAATTATTAGCATTTTGCTGCCCCAACTTTATCATCGGTCATCTATCTATCTATAAAACTCTAGATTTTATTTGTATTTTATAAATTTTTTCACTAATACCCTGTTCCAGGGTCCCACCCAGGATACCACATGACAGTTGTCATGTCTCCTTAGTTTTCTTTGGTCTGTGATAGTTTCTAGGTTTTCATAACTTTAACAGTTTTGAGGAGTACTGGTCAGATATTTGGTAGAATGTCCTCGATTTATGTTGGTGTGGTGTTTTTCTCACTGTTGGACTGGGGTTAGTTATAGTTTGGGGGGAAGAATAGTGCAGAGGTAAGGTGCCCTTCTCATCACATCTCCAATTTTATTTTTAATGACCATGAAGTATTTGGATCCCTTTGTTTGGATTCTCTTTCAGAGTGGAAGGAAGGGAAGTCTGGGAGGCTGAAAGCAACATTCAGCCAACTTAATGAAGCTAAGGCTTGCCCAGGTCCGGGCACTTGGACCATGATCTTGGGCAGGAGAGATGGCCAGACTGATCTGAGGTGGGCAGAATAGGATTTACAATTCATCATGAACTAGACCCTAACAGAAGGCAAGAAGGCAGGTTCTAATGGGGAGGCCCTGGCCTAGGCTTAGGAGGCGCACAGGGCAGGATAGAGGAGAAACTGTGGAAGGGCTGAAGGCAAGCTTCCCATCTCAGCTAGACTGTTCTAAGGGATTCCAGCAGCAGGAACCTCCAAAAGAAAGCACAACCCCAATAGCACTGCCATCCCAAGCCTGAGGAGTGGAAATACTTGGGGACACCCAGGCTTACATTTCGCATTGCATGGGCCAATGCAGCTGAGTCTGGGGACCTGGGAAAACTGTTTGGAGCCCACTCAGTGCCTGGCCAGAGGAGCAGCTCCCAGCCCTGGGAGGATGCCTCTGGCAAACGGGCAAGATCAGAACAGCCTGTGACTCTCTGGGTGCACTCTTTCTTTCTTGAAATGCGAGTGCCATGGGTGGTGAACGAGCTGTGCCACTTTGCCTAGGCTCTCGTAGACTTCTGCCAGAATTCCAAACCTGCTCTGGGGCACAGGTGCATTTGGTGTAGGCCCTAGGGGGTAGGTTCTCTGCTTTATCAACACACCTGGGCCCACCTACCCCTCTACTGTTTGGGCTCTGAGTCTGTCTGTCCTGTTTCCTCCTACCTTCTTCCCCTTCTCCTCATGCCAGGCAGCCCCAGGGGTTGAGACTTGAGATCCAGACAATTCTCTAAAGGCTCTGCTTTGCCCCAGAACTCTGGGGCTGGGTGGGGACAATAGGGGTGACTGGAGGACTGGGCTTTGGTCAGGGACCAACACTAGGCAAATCGCTTCCCTGCCTCTAGGCTTCAGCCTTCTCAACTGAGGGCTCAGACCCAATTAATTGATCTATTGCCCTTTTAAAAAGCTATATTAGTTGCATTAAATGTTAACCTATAACCTATAAATTATACATAATCTGTAATCTATCATATATCATTTTAATCAGTAACCTTTTAATAAAAATCCAAAATAAAAATTGCTCATGATTCATCCTGAAATGACATTAATACTGACGTTGATTCCTGACACTTTCTAGTCTTTGTCCAGGCACATAATTCAACTTTACTCTATCTACAGTAATATCATAAATAGGAATTTATATTTAACATTTTCAGTTAAGATTACACCATACATTTTTTCCTTTTCCTTTTCTTACCTATGCCCTTTTATCCCCATTCTAATCTTGATGAGGTAACCAATTTTAACAGTTTAATTACATATGGATTCATATCTGAATATAGTACAATGTATAGTATTTGCATTTGGGGGAGAGGGGCTATTGTTTAACTTACAAAACTATATATATTTTCTGCAACTTATTTTTCTGATTTAGACATATGTTGTGAAAATCAAACCAGGCCAAGAGATATAGCGCATAATTCTACACAGAAATACAGCACATAATTCCATTTAGAGATACAACATATAGTCCCACGTAGAGATATAGCATACAATTCCATGGTCTGGGTGAAGCTATAACAGTTTGCTCAACCATTCCCCGATTGATTGGGACTCAGGTTATTTACAGTTGTTTTGTTTTCCTCCCAGTAAAAACAAGGCTGCCACAACATTTTGTACACACACCTCTATGAAAGGATACTTGCATATATAGGGTATGAAATTAGAGATGTGGAATTGCTGGGTCTAAAGACCTGTGTTTTTTTTTAATTTCTCAAAATGGCTACAAAAATTCACATCTGCGCAGGTAATGGGTGAGGACACCTCTTGCCCTACATCCTCACCAACACTTGTACTTATTAGTCTTTTTTAATGTTTGCCAATCTGGTGGATGGGAAATAGCGTCTCAGTGTTGCTTTAATTTGCATTTGCCTATTTACTATAAGTCATATATATTTTGGCTCTTTGGATTTTCTCTCATGTCAACCAGAATTCATATCCTTTGCTTGTTTTTTCTACTGGGTTCAAAGTAGGATATTCACATGCCTTCTGTCATATGTGTTGCAAATATATTTTCCCATTCATTGTCTTTTGAGTTATTTTTTAAAGACTTTATTTATTTAGTTTTAGAGAGAGGGAAAGGAGGAAGAACGAGAAGGCGAGAACATAGGTCAGTTGCCTCTTGCATGCACTCTCACCAGGGACCGAACCCGCAACCCAGTCATGTGCCGTAACTAGAAATTGAACCGGCAAACTTTCACTTCACAGGGCAATGCTGAACCGACTGAGTCACACCAGAATGGCTTGTCTTTTGACTTAATAGGGCATCTTTTTTTCATACCAGATATTTTTCTTTTGTGTAGTCAGATATGCTTAGCTTTCTTTTTTTTTTTACTGGCTTTTCATTTTCTTTTTTTTTTAAGTCTCCTTAACATACAGGCTATATTCCTAAGTTTCCTTCTTTATTTCCCCTTGTTGTTTTCGTATCATTTAAACATGCAATCTCTTTGGAATTTATTTTTGTCAAACTAAGGTAGACTTCAACGTTATTTTCTTCCATGAGGATAGCTGAATTTAGCAGCTTCCAGTAACGATTGGATTTGGGCAAAGTGTTCCAAAGCTAAAGAAGTTTAAAAATCTCTTTCAGGTGATCTTTGGGGGGCCCTTCCAGGTCTGATAGTGCCTGACTCCATAAGGCCCAGTACAGTGACTGCTTGCTAAAAGAGGAAAAGCAATGGACAGTGTTACTTTATGAAAAAGTAATTTCAATATTAAGTCCCAAGTTGGCTCAAAGTGGATATTAGAATTGCAGCATTTTAGAGGTGGAAGGGACCTTGGAAATTATCCAGTCTAATTACTCTCAATTCTCGCTGCCTTTAGAATTACCTGGGAGCTTATAAAAATTCCTGATGCCCCAGAGCCTGGCCAGACCAAGTCAATCAGTGCTTGGGGGTAGGCAGGGCCTGGGCAGGGTATGTTTTTAAATCTCCTGGTGATTCTAATAAGCAGCTGAGGTTGAGAAGCACTTCTCTAGCTCAACCCCATCATCTCATCAGTAAATAATTTGAGATCCAGACGAAGTGAGCTAGGTATCACACAGCTGGCTAGCTGGCTCTAGAACCAGGATCTCTACTTCCTGGATTAGCTTTTTCATCTGTATCATACAAGCCCATCAAACACCATACCTTGGATTTTCAGCTGGCAACACTGAAGTCTCTGTATGAGTGCTTTGTACCTTTGCTTAGGATCAGCTTTACAATGTTTACTGCCTGCAATTCCGTGCGCCACAGATGAAGAGACTAGTTCTGCCTTGCCAGACCTTAGTGGGGAACAGGGTTATAAAGAACTGTGATAACGAAAAAGAATAGAGGGAATAAATGGCCCATACAAGTAGAGGAGCTACTGAGGGGATGAGGTGCAGAAGGAGGAAGAGTTCCATTGACAGGAGGTCAGCGCGTGCAGAAGGTGGTGACTGAATTGGGCCTAATGGGTGATGGAAGAGGTCTTGGTGACAGAATTGATGCTGCACTTCCTTCCCTGGAGCAGTGTTGGAGCCTTCAGTGACGCAGGCAAGGTTTCAGGGCAGTCGTGCCTTGGTGTCAGAGGGCCAGGCTGCGCCCGGCCGGTGTCCGCCGAGCTCTGACGCTCTCCCTCTGCTCTGCCCGCAGGAATGAGACCGTGCTGCACCAGTTCTGCTGCCCCGCCGCCGATGCCGAGCAGAAGCCCTCCTGTGCCGACCTGGCCTCCCACAGGTGCGCAGTACCCGGTGGGTGGTCCTCCCCTCCCTCCCCACGGTCCTGCCCCGCAGAGCCAAGCACACGTCATTGTGCCATTGGGCCTCTTTCTCTTGGGTCTTGTGTTTTTGCTCATTTGTTTGTTTTTACCTCCTTCCTCATACTTCCATTTCTCTTTGCTTCCTCTGGACCCCAGATGAGCCATTTCCAACTTTTGAGGACGTTATGCCCTTTTGTTCAAATCCCAAACCTTTGCTCCTCCCCTCTAAATGGCCTATATAAAATACATTTCTAAACATCAAGGGAAATTAATGTGTGCATGTATATACATGTACACACACACATATGTCAGTGTGTGTACATATATAGATATCTCAGTAAGTTATCTGGCACTCAGTAGTTGCTCAATCAATGATAGCGCCCATCTTTCCTTTTAAATCAAATATTTACATTTTTCTTCCTAATCTTTCTCTTTCCACAAAGGAGCCAAGATGACTAACTCTAATTTCAGGATTTTCCACCCTTCACTGAATTAGCTGACAATCTGGAAAGGAAGGGACTATTGAAAAGCCAGGGTTCGGGTGTCACTGTCGCAGGCTTTCTCCTTCATCGTGTTTTCATATGCTCTCTTTCCCCCGTCTCCTCCCTTGGGTTGTCTCTCCATCCGGCTTTCACCTTTCCCCTACCACATTCATCTATCTCACTGCCCTCGGCTCCTATATTCCCCCCTTCCCTGCCCACATCAATTCCCTCTCCCCTTCATCCTGATTCGTGTGTGTTGTCAGTCCCTGTCCCCATTATCCTCTGTTTTCTTCTCTTTTCCACCAATTTTTCTGTCTCATGGTTCTGCACACTTCTGGCCTTTACTTCACTCAGAGTCATGGTTCTTCCATTCTGGACTAAATTTTGCCCCATCTACAGTTTCCTGTTGTCGGGATGAATTTGGGCAAGTTACTCCACTCCCCTGGGCCTCAGTGTCCTCATCTGTATAAGGGAGGGGTCACTCTATCTAGAAAATAACATTTGCACATAACCTCACAGAGCCTCTCACCTGCTTAGGGAAATAAGACTAAGCAGGCTTTATAATCCCTGTCTTCCGTGAGAGGTAAGTGAGGCTCAGGGCACTCCAGGCACTTGTCCACAGTCACGCAGCCAGCAAGTGCCAAGGCCCAGATGCACACTTAGTGTGTTGACTCCCCCAGGTTGCCACTTCCAGGTTTAGGATTTAACCATTCCATGATCTTTCCCTTTCTTCCTCGGACAATAACTAGATAATAATCAGAGGCAGTGGCTACCGAGCTTAAGGACAGACAACTAGCCCCTGAAAGGCATTACTACTCATTTCCCCTTCAAGGGAAGTCAGAGGGCATTGGGTGCGAGGCAGGACTCTGAGGAGGGAACTATGGCAGTTGGGCCACAATAGCCCCTCCAGGTCCGTCAGGCCAAGGCTGCAGGGGGCATGGCTGGTCCCTACTGCCGACCAAGTTGGAGGATGGAAGGCAACGGGAAGGACCAGGCTCTGTGCGGCGCCCTGGGTGGTCTCTGTGCCAAGTGCTGTGCCGGGACAGAAGGACAAAGCAAGACCTTTCGGATCCTTGAGGAGGTCCCCATCTCGTGGGGCATTGTGTTGCCTCCAAATTGAAAATGGCTCACCTGGAAACTGAAAGGAAGTAGGGAAATGTGAGAATGAGAAAGTGGAAGAGAAAGGAGAGAGGACACAGGGTGGAGTGGCACAAGGGTGGTCTGGGAAGAAAGAGACACGGGCCCTGGCTCTTCCCGTCACTGTTCAGACATGTGTCTTCTTCCAAAAATGTCCTTTCTGGCAGGGGAGGCGCAGCGAGGAAAGCTATCTGCCCTGCCTCCCACCCCAGCACAGCCACCCAAGCACCAGGCCTTGGGGAGGGTGGGTAACATCATACCCTCACGAAACCCAGCAACAGAAATCTTCCTTTGGGTTTTCCTTCGTCCTTCCTCTTTCATACTCACCCCTCTCGCTCTTCCACATGCTAACCGTCCTCTGCCTGGCCAGACCCCCTGACGTCTGGTTCCTGGTGGGAAGTGGCGGGAGAGAGAAGGGTATATGTCGGGGCAGGGAAGGGTGCTGCCCCCTCGTGGGGCCTGGGCTCCAAGGGAGTAAGGGTTCTTTTCCAAGATTTGGGGAGAGATGTTAGGAAACCTATTATCTCAGTTTCCCCTTCAAAAGCAGGCCCCAACCTTGGGGCGAGGGTGGTCTAGGGAGGGAGGGTGGAGGGTGGAAGATTTTCTGGAATGTTGGTTCGTGGAGGGGCCTATACATGCTGCCTTCTGCAGCCCTCCCCTCTGGGCGGGGCAGGGGGTTCTGCACCCAAGGTGGTCCACCTGGTGTCTGTCTCTGTTCCCAGTTATTCTAAGTTGTCCTGTCTGGTTTGTAGCTTCCTAGAGTGTGTTTCTGTCTCTCTGTCTGTCTGTCTGTCTCTCTGATAACAGTTTCTCAGCTTCTCTGGAAGGAGGTTATCTAGATGTTTTCTGACAGTGTACGTGTCAGTCTGTTTGTCTATTCTTGGATTTGTGGGGGAATTCCATCCTTGGATAAGTTTTCTCCCATGAGACTCTCAACATCCCTGCTCCCAACCCTATCTTTGACTCCCTCACAGCCCCTAATCTCTCTTTAGCCAGGTGTCCCGCCTCCCCGTGAGTTTCTCCACAAGGCGGCAGAGGTCAGAAGTAGGCTGAGGGCCAGCACCGAGCCCTCTAACTCAAGCCAGGCTCCTCCCCACTGGCCAGCCTGGTTTTCCACCAGCTCAGCCAGCCTCCAGCAGGGTCACCCTCCTCTGAGCATTTCTAGGAATAAGCCAATTAATCTCTACAGGAGAAAACAATAAAGAATCCAAACCAATCATCAGATCTGAAGGTCATTGGGGCTGTTCCTGTGTGATCTCAGAGCTGGCTGCAGAGGCCCCCTCCCCTTCCTCCTCTGTGCCTTAAAGCCAGTGGTGACCAAGATCAGCACAAATTTGAGGGGCCCGTTCCCTCCCTGCCCACACCCAAGCTGTAGTGCTGAGCAAGAATTCCTTTCCTTGAGCCTCTAGGCTCCTGCCCTTGGGGCTGCAGTGGCTGCTCCGCGTAAGCTGATCACCCACAGGCCCTGGGCAGACGGTAGGGAGGATCTGCTGTCATAGAGAGGAAAACCCTCAGCCCAGTGTTGAGCCCCAGGATGCGGCGAGATCCTCACTCCCTCCCAAAGAGGGGGAAGCTCCAGTCCTGTTACTTTGTGCTTCCCCATGTGCAGGACAGCCTTTGGGGAATGGTATCAGGAGAAATCTGTCTTAGTTCCTGGGGCCTCCCAGGAAGTGGGAAGTGATGCTCCCTGATGTTGAGCAAGTCTGGAAGCTTCGTGCCAATGAGACGGGAGGCTGAGCGGTAGGCATCAAGGACTGGGGTACAATGGAACAGTTATAGGACTTCCACAGATATCGTGGGCTCCATTGTGCTTAGGTTCAACGCCACCACCCCAGGCAAACAGCCTGTGCTTTCCAGGGTAATAAGCCCTCAGGTGAGAACTGGGGGAGTGGGCCCAGCGCCAGCCAGGGGGCAGCAAGGCCACACCAGGTTCTTTCATCCCCCTTCCCCACCTCCTCCCTGCTGCTAGCTGATGGCAGGGCTTTATTCTGGGGAACTGAGTAAGCTAATAATTGCAGCCTTACTTTCCATCCCATGGGCTCCCCTCCCCCTCAGGCTCTCAGCGACATTCGGAACAATGACCCTGGAGCTGGCCGGCGGCCTCCCAGCTTCTAGGAGAATGGCAGCCCATCTGTTTCTGTGGGTGGCAATGGAGAGAGATGAGGAAGATTGGCTTCTATTAGGGTAATGACAAAAGGCTGGAGGGCATGTCAGAAAGAGGAGGTGCTAGGGAGGAGACAGAATAACTCCCAGCCTGGTGAGGAGGAGGAGGTAGCAGTGGGGATGGCGGGCAGTGGGCCCCAGCAGACTGAACTGACTCACCCCCAGGGTTTGGTCCTTCTTCCTCAATGACTCTGCCCTCCTCCAGGATGGAAGAGACACTAATATTTACTGAACACAATATTTATTGAACATGCCAGGAGTGTGGTACTAAGCACTCTCAATATTTTAGCTCCCTTAATTCTCTGTGAGATCGCTGCTACTCGCAATTACAGATAAGGAATCTGGGATGGAGAGACGTTGGGTATCTTGATAGAGGGACACTGGGGATCAGTTCTGGAGCTGGAGAGGCTGAGCCCGGGTCTGACTCTGAAAGCAGAGCTGCTGCTAGGGTTTTTTGTTTGTTTGTTTGTTTGTTTTTTGTTTTTTAGTAGCATAGGAGAAATTCTTTGAGACATTTCACTTAATCTTAAATAATATTTATTTTCTCTGGTTGTAAGTTCCACGTGCTAGTTGTTGAAAATGTGGAAAATACAGAAATAAAAAGAAAGTAAAAATTGAATCCAGTCATATAGAATTAATTTCTCTTAATATATTAGTGTGTAAACTTCTGGGGTTTTATTTTTTTATACACTGGGTATTACATTTTCTCCCATTTAAAAAAAAAAAAAAAGGAATTTATAGCCCGCATTTCCCACCGCAGGCAATGAGACAGCCTACTGCCTAACCAATAACCGGACCGTCCCAGTGCTCTGCCCCTCTGGTGTGTCACCTGCTAACCAGCCCACAGACCCACAGAGTATATGTGGCCATGGCTGCAGGCTCTTGAAGAAGGGTCACCCTTCCAAGAATAACTTTGGCGACAGCTCTCTATTAGTGCTGTCCTGTGCATACCGCTGCCTTTCCTCTGTCCCCAGCCAGCCTGAGGCATGATCAGTGGACCAGCCAGTGTTTACTCAGCCACTATGGAGCAATTAAATTCTCAATCAACACAGTTTAGTCTTCAAACTGCAGTTTGGGAGCTTTTGGTGTCAGTGCCTACTCTATTTTTCACCTCTGAGGCTCAGAGGATGCTGGGAAACCTCCCCCACCCACCAGTAGAAAGGGGCAGGGCTGCAGAGTGTATTCTCCAAATCCCT